CCAAGCTGTCACTGAGTTCCCGGAAGGCCTCTCCCAGGTTTCCCTCTACCTATTCCCCCCTAAAAGTAGAATGTTTCTATTTGGTATGATTTGGAAGGTTACTTCTGGGACCTGGGAACACTATTACTCTTAATTTATATAGGAAAAAATTTTGAGCATTACCTGCCAAGTTATACCAAATAGGAGCATTCTACTTTCGAATACTAGGGAAACCGGGAGACCAGCAATCTCATGAAGCCTCAATTTCCAGCATTCCATCAAAGCCTCATGCCACCTCCCTCACCCTTCCTCTCACAACTATTATTATTAGGGAGGCTGAACGAATATTTTTTACAGGCATGGGCTGGGAATCCACCAAGCTAGGTGAATTCCCCATGGGTTGTGTGATCTGGCTTAATACCCCACCTCACAGCGTCTTAAAATCCCTCTTTTCTAAAAGTCAGTATTCTCTAAGTTAGTAGTACCTGGCTAATAGGACTGTTGGGAAAATTAAAATAGGAGGTGCAAGTAGAACATTTTGCACTGAAGTTGGTACATAGTCTCCTATTTTAATTGGCAACAGATTCAATTCTAGAGATAAAATAGTGGTCAAGATGGTTTGGGATACAAGTTACAACACCCGGGGGTCATTCAAGAGAGAGACCCATATCTATGTTAGCACTGGAAGTGACAATTGGCTACACAACCTTTGAGACTCAATGCTAAAGGAAAACACAAAGTGCCAAAAGTTAACAATTTCAAGATGGTGACCACAGAACATTGAGCAAGTGTGGGTGCCTTCTAACATTGGGTCCCACAGCCACCTGCCCATGAAGTCTGTGCTGTTAGAAATAAATGTGCCCACTCGGGAGACACTCAAAGTATCCACGAGTACCAGGCTTCTAAGACTCATCTAAACACCTGAAGCACTTGGGGAGATGCCAGTGGGAGAGTCACAGTATAACTAGGGGGTGGCAGTCTCCAAACTAAAACCCATTATTAATTTGTGAGAAGCATCAAAGCAAACTCCAGTTTTCTTGTCATCTACAATGCAACCAACCAGACTGTCCCTAAAAATCTATTCTCTGCAGAAACAAAATCCTTTATAAGTAATGTCCATTAGGGGACTTTGTCCAACTGCAATCCATACTCAAAAGGCCACTTGACTCGAGGCCTATTGTCTGCTGGGTCCAACCCCACTTCCCAGGCAGCACTTGATCACGGAGAACATTAAACTTTTTATTTTTTATTATTTTTTAAAGATTTATTTTTATTTATACAAGAGCTGGGATACAGGCCAGATGTGCAGGAGGGTGAGAGGATTCATCACAGACAGAGCAGGGAACAGAACAGGCAGACTGACTGAAACACACTGCTGAGGGGAGTAGTAAGCGAGTCAGGAGAGGTCTGCTGTGCCATGTGGGTTGCTCCCTGGCTGGCAGGGTATGGAACTCGGCCTGCAGAGGCTGCGGATTGCCTCATAGTGCTATGCTTAACCCCTTGTGCCACCAGGGAGGCCCTACACTGCTGCTTCGTAAGCACAAGGGTACAGGGGAGTACTCCCTGACCCCCTTAAAGAAACTAGAGGCTGTGAGCAGGTCTGCTAATGATGTTGAGAGAGTTGGCCCTGCTAAATGACCATCATGGAGAAGGTTGGCTGGAAAGAGATCTAGGTTGTGTTCTGAGCCTTCCTTTCCACACTCCTGACTGGGGTCACCATGTTTCACCAAGTTATCACACATGGGTTTCCAAGCAACTCTGTTACTTGCCCCCCAACTTCAAGGACATGTTCTTGTCTGCCACAAGCTCTGTTTTCTGGATGAAACTCAGGGTTCGTTTGTCAGCTTATTTAAAAGTCTACTGTGGGGACTCTCTGGTATCTGTCTCTGGTGAATCATCTCAACCACCCCCCCAACATCTCTGGCCTGTACCCCAGCTCTTGTATGCACAAATAAATAAATCTTTAAAAAAAAAAAAAAAAGAAGCAGTGTAGTTACATGACATACACTGTGAACATTTGAGCTGCATTCCAACAGTTTGAACATCACACTGGAAAGAAGGTCGTTGTAGGGTAAGGAAAAATGCCAGGCTTTTCTGCCCTCCCGCCATCAGGATAGATGATGGATCCTTGCGGTCCTGAATGCATGTCTGATGGCGGGCACCTGAAATAGGTTGTGGGCATAGGTAGATGGGATTCACCTGGGCTGAGACTTGGCTTTTAAGGGCGGCGTCACAGGGACGTCAGCAGAAGCCGAAAGAGAAGCTGAGAAAGAGCAGAGAAGCAGAGAGAACGCCAGAGAGCCCAGATAGAGTGAGGATTTGCTGGGGGCTGGGAGGACTGCCAGCCTCCCGGCCCCCCAGCACCCCTGCCTGCCATATGCCTGGTAAACCCCAATAAAAGCCTGCAAAAAGCCACTGAGGACTCTGACTCCTCCTTTACCGGTTCTGCTGGATCCTAGAAAACCTGCCCTGTGTCCATTCCTGCCCTAACAGTCGTGAAGAAGGAGGGCTCTGGGACCACAATCCCAGCACTACTGCTAGTTAGAGGTATGAATTTGGGGAGCTAACATAAACTAGACTGACTGCCATTACAGATGGAAAGCGCTTACAACACTGCCAGGCACACAATAAGGACTCAATAATTGTTAATTGATGTCACCCTTGTAACTCTTAGGCTTAACCACTCCCCCACCCCCAAGCTACCAACAAGCTCATGGCTTAGGCACCATCCATTCGAATGCAAACTCCTAGAGAGTATGAATCACTTCACTGGTGTAGGACTCACACTACCAGGACATAAAGCTAGTGATGGTACGCAAGTTTGCAGAACTTTTGTGCTTTGAGAATTCCAGGGATGGTAGTAGATCTGTTTATTGTATTCACAGTATTTTTATCTTTTGATCTACTAATAAAAGAATATTTATGTGACTGACTAATCCAACTGCATTTAAAACTAAAAAAAGTTTGACCTGCATTACTTGATAGTTAGTCTGACTGTAGTCAGAACATCAAGCTTACAATGTTCATAGTCATTGAGCATTAAACAGCATATTTTTAAGATAACTTAACATCAGAGAAGATCATAAATGTGCCTTCACTCCTCTTTTCCAGTGGGTTCATTTACAGTTTACTAATACCATGGAGTATATCATGAGTTTCTGTTTTTGGTTGGTTGGTGGGTGGGTGGGTGGGTTGGTTTTTATGAGGCAAAACCAACAGTGATGGTTTTTCAGCATGGTTGTTCTACCTCCTCTCACCTGATCTTCCCTGATGACAAATTCTTAATAAGGCAGGTACAGTCTGTGGTCAAGAAACTCAGCCAGGTTCACCAATCTAGGCAAGGAAGAAATGTAGAACCCTGGCCTTATTAAGTCCCAGGCACAATATACAAATGTGATGATCATTAATTGACCACAAGTATCTAACACTAATCAAGCAATTTTAGTTGTCCAATTCTCCAGTCTAACTTTGCTATTTAGTTCACAGCAAAGAAATATATATGAGAGAAAAATGCTAGAAAGTCAGGGTACCTTCGGGCCTCCTCCCCTACCTGCCTTGCGCACTTGTCTTTCACAGGATCCTCTCGAGCCACATCCTACCAGTCCTACAACCAAGAGGGTCCCAACTAGGGGCTCCTCCTTCAAGATTTTCAGGACCATACACAGTGTAGAAATACCACAAATATTTGCTGAATGGATTAATGGAAATAACAGGATATGGTTATTATGTTACTTTTATAAGTACTAACCAATCCTTAGGAGTCTTTTGACTTCCTGCTTATGGATCACCACTTCAAAATCCTGTATACTGAGAGGTGGAGGTAGTCCAGTATTTACCACTGAGCATTAATAGTCACAGGAGGCACAATATCAATCACATGATTACAATATATTAACATTTTACATCTGAAAAGTAATGTTCTGTTTATAAATCATTTTCCCTCCATTTTCTCATTTAATCATCATAGGTATTACATAGAGCATAACACATTTTATTGCTTTGTTTTGATGGCAGAAGAGGAAACAAGGTGAAATCTAGATCAACCAACATATACTAGCAAAATCAAACAGAAAATTTGAAACTGAAATAAATGTAGAAGTTGATCTTGTCTAGCCTCCCATGAAAACCTGGTAGACATGTTTTTCTCTTTCATTATAGGTGACTATTATACATGACAAAGCTCTGCATATTGTCTTACTAGTTCTACCTGTCAGAAGAAAGAGTAAGCTGCTGGTACTGCCTGTCAGAACCAGCAACAAAATCTTTATCACAGACCAGACAGGTCCCATTAAAATAAATAAAAATGGAGCCAAGGCGAGGGGCCTTGTAGAAAGATTCCCTTATCAACTGGAATTTTCATATTTAAATTGCCAGACAGGCAATTAAATTATACCTTGATAATCTTAAAGTTAAAAATAAAGGATACATTTTACATTCCCCAGAGCAAAACACCTAATCCAAACAGATTTTATCTCATCTCAGAAGTCACGCAGGTGAGAAAAACTGAATTGTCCCATCTATCTCATATTCATTTAATTCAAAAAAATATTGGTCCCCACTATATATCATGAACCAAGTCGGGCACTGGGTCATACAAGTAATTTTTAAGACTAGCAAATTGCCACTGCTGTGCTGAATTAAAATCAAATTTTAAAAAACCCGTCTTAAACATTAAGGTACTGCCTCTGATCCTCACTTTATTTGTCACCTCTGATTGAGAACATTTCTTTTAAGATATAAGTTTCAAGTTAAGATAAGAAATTAAAAGCAACTTATAAAATTAGAGCGCTTCTTCACCCGTTTTAATGTCAATTATTATTCAAAACTGTTAAAAATAGAACCTCTAGCTTTCAATTCTCTTCCTTTCTATTCTACAAATTAAAGGTTAAGTGATGACAACCCGTCAGAAGAACAATAGACAACACACACATAGCTCCCTCTTCCAGCTTCCAAAGCAACAACAAGAAAGTCAAACACTGATTTAAAAGAAAAGAAGAAGAAAAGACAGCCTGCACCGTTACCGTTACTCCCGCCAAGTTCATGGAAGGAAGTCCTCGCTAGCTAGTCCTCGAACTCGGCAAAACCTGAACAGTGAAACACAGAATGAGAGGCGCACCACCCACCTGACTCCAGGTAAATTAAAAACCTTGGGCACCAATTTTATTGAAAAATAAAAGCCCAGAAACCATCAACAAAATGCATTTTCATTTTTCAGAAAATGGTTTTTAAAAAACACCTTGCAAAGATTATGCGTAAGCAAACAAGTCAATCTGAAAGGCACAAAGAGAGGAATGATGTAGGGCATATCATTTCATCTGAAAGTTGATAAGCAAAAAAGGAAACACAAAATACCACCTCAGGGTTTTGTTTTTTTTAAGTCCAGTTTTTTATTGAAACTGGAAGGATTTTCTAAAACCTTTTCATAGTGGAATTAGGCACAGGACTTACTTTAAGGTTTTTTCTCAGCCCCAATGACTAGCCAGTTATTTCTATGAGGCTAATTCACTACACCTGTGGATTTTTTTAAGGCCTAATTAAAGGAAGAAAAGAACAATTCTTATACAAAAGCAAAAGTGGAGGGAGGGTATGGCAGGTAAAACGAAAAGGTCATGTTAAATTTGAGGCCCAGTTTTTCTGACACAAAACTGTTAACGAATTGAAAAAGAAATCAGTCTGTTTTTAGGGTAATCTGCAGCCTGAAAATATTCATCCCCCAGCCTTAGACTACCTAGAAATTAACCTGCATATTGACCAGAGTTTTCAATTTTTTTTTTCGACACTAAATGCTTTGGTAGATTTAGCGCCTCAAAAAAAAAAAAAAATAAATAAAAGTTTTGTAATGCAACTTGTAAACTTAAAGCATACCCAATAAATAAAGAAAATGATAAAATGATCAGAACCACCTGACTTCCTTTTTAGGAACTATTTATTTATCCAAAATTAGCTTTCTATACCATGGATAATATAAACTTTTTTTGTTAATGATTCTCAACAACTTTGGCTTTAATGTAGGTAGACTGCAAGACAAAACTTGTACTATATTTTATAAGACAAACTACAATTTAATCAGTTATTTAATTTAGAAAATACTCCTTAACATTTTGCAATTCTCTTAACCCACATGGCACTTTACATTGTAAAGAACACTCATAATCACATAACCCCCTTAAAAGACTCCAGTTGTGGGTGGATAATGTCCCCTTATCACAAAGATATAGGAAGTTACTGATACGAACAAATGAACAACAAAACAGAATTTGAACTTAGAATTTCTGACTGCTTCATTCACAAGGTCATGCATTAACTGCAATCACAAGATCACCTACCCATGAAGCTTCAAGGAAATATTTCCTTCCCTAAATTCACCCCAAATACAAGATAACATTGCAAAACCAGTCCTGTGTCCAGCGTTTCTTGATCATAAAAACATTCAGTTTTTCTCAGTGTGATTCCTAGAAGGCACTGGCAAATTCCTGCTAGGCCAATCTGCACTCAAAAACCGACTGCACGTATCCAGTGAGATGACAGGAGGGTCAACGTTTTCAGCCATCTACTTCAACTGCAGGGCAACAGCAATTCCAGCTAATACGGTAAACCTATTAGCAAGTGTAAGGACTCAACACAACCACGGTAAATAAGGCGCCCCCCTGAGCACAAACACACAACTCTGGAACGACATATATATCTACACAGGCTTGCATATTTCCACAAACACACACACGTGTCCATTTCAAAAATCATGTTCAGCCCAGCATTGCGCCAACACTTTTCCCACCTGAACTTCTCAGCACAAGACTGGCCTAAAAGCACAGCTGGGCTCCCGCCCGTGCCCAGGTTGGAAAAGCAGCATGCACCCACGACAGGAGCGGCGGGGCAATGCCTGCCCTTCCCCAGCCCAGCTCTGGCCGGGCTGCGATGTAGTTTAGTCCAGTCTACTTTATGGTAATGTGCTTTTAAACCCTCGCAGCGACCGAGGTCATAGCTTTAGAGATCTAATAACACGCAAATGACCGGGGCTGCCGGGCACTTAGTAAGCCATTCTGGTTATGGCTCTTTAATAGTACCTGGAGTTCTGCTACTACAGGGAGAGCGGAAAGAAAGTCCTCTGCAGGGAGCGCAGAGGGGAGCCGAGCAGGAGCAGCAGCGCGCGGGCAGGGGACGCTCCCCCGCCGCGGCCCCTCCGGGGCAGCCCCGCGCGCCCCTCACCTGGCAGCAGCGCTGGCCCGGGGGGCGCACCTTTACCTGTCAGGTCCCCGATCGGGTGCGAGCAGCCGCCCCGCCGCCCGCGCGGGTCCCAGCCCAGCTCCGGGGCTGGCTGAGCAGGAACCCCGGAGGCATCCCATCCCAAAGAAAGCAAAAAGGCTGTTCCTCCGGGCGGAGGGACCTCGGGCACGTCGAGGTCCAAGACGCAACACGCCACCCCGGCCGGGCACCTACCAAATAATCCATGTACAGAAACGCCTCAGTTATCCGGAGATCAGACATCCGGCAGCCTAAAGCATCCGGAACGGCTCCGAACCCGGAAAAAAAAGCAGCGTCTCTGGCTGCGAGCTAGCAGCCCCAGAAAAAGCCAGCAGCGACGAAAATAGCCGAGAGCAGCCGAGGAGCCGAAGATTACACCAGGGGCGCGGCGATTGGCCGGGCGGGAGGGCAGAAGGAAAGGGGCGCGCTCATTGGCTGCGGCGCTTATAAAAGGCAGGCCTCTGCGGGAGGCAGGAGAGAAGCGCGGGAGCGCGGGCCGCGCCGGTTCCTGTGAGGGTGGCGGAGGGGCGGGGGCGAGGCCCGCGCGGGCGGAAGAGCGCCGGGGAGAGCGGAAAACCGGCGCGGGTGCCGCCGCCGGAGCGCTCGGCGCTTCTGTGCCTCGTCGTTGAGGTCAGAGGGCAGAGCTCGGGGCTGCGGCCCCTCCCGCCCCCGGAGGTAAGCGGACGCTGAAGCGCGGGGGGCGTGGCCACCCCCGGACTGCGCGTCTCTCCCGGGAGCGATTTCCTGGAGTCTCCGCGGCCTCCGGACGGCGCGCCCGGGCGCTGGGAGCGTGTGGGAGAGGCCGCTCGGCGCGGGCCGGTCACTTGCGGGCGAGGGCGGGCTGGGCCGCCCCTCCTCACTTTCAGGACGCCCGACTGCAAGGGCGGGCAGCTCCCCTCTTTTGTGTCCGGGGGGGACGCAGGAGCCATGAACGCCGGCAGAAGAAGAGCCTCCCCCTCTTTTCGCAGTTCCAAGAGCCTCTCCCTTTTTTCACAGTTCCAAGAGCCTCGCCCTCTTGTCACAGTTCCTGCTTGCGCCCAGAGAGTTCGCTCTCCACCACGTGCAAAGTTTGGGATGGTAGGTCGTGGACCGCAGGTATTAGGGAAGAAGCCATTCGGTCCTTGGCAAGCTTTGAGTTCGCTTACACTGAACACCACCCCTAGAGAAAGTGAGCAATAGAAGTAGCTCTAGGAAAAGCCCCAAGTGATACAGTCACTATGAGCTGATGTCATGCTAGGGTAAAAATATCTCTTAAGTAGTTGCACTTGAAATGTGTACATTGCCTAGTAGATAGCTAGGAAATTGACACTGAATTTCACTCTTGTATTAAGGCGGGAGGGGCCCTGAATCTGACAAGAACCAGGTAAGAACACGCAAAGATTCAGGCCAGGAATGACAACATGAATACCAGAAACACCTGTCTTAGCAGGATCAGGTGACTGCAGTACCACCCCACCCCAGGTTAAGGAGGGTGAGGGATTACTCTTACTAGTATTAATTAGGCTTCCATAAAATAAACGTTTGAAGGGTGAAATCCTCAACTGAAATCTTTCTAAAGAGTTGGTTTGACTGTATAAAAGTTATTTTACGGGTTGCATTTTTATTCCTAAATGACAACTATTTTTTTGTATCCTCAGGAACAAGTTTCTATACACAGCTTACCCAGCAAGGGGCTACCAAACAATGCAACTAAACAATAGAATTCATCCTAATTAGGCAGCTGACCAAAAAGCTGGTGCAGCCCTTTAGAAGTAGGCTTGGTGAGCAATATGATTTGGAGTACCCTACCTCCTCTTTCTGAACCTATTCTCTCAGCTGAAAAATGAGAACTATGACAAAAGGGAATTTTAAAGGACTCTAAACATACACACTTAGTACTGAGCCTGAATTTGTTGGTCCAATTTACAGGAAAGGGTATGTGTATAAGTAAGAAGTTACACTTCTGAAGAGATTTCAGTGAGTTTTTGCCTATGCAGAGCTAACTAGACTCAGCTGCTTTAAGTCATTAGCTTCTATTGATTGTTCTCAGTAGCCTATTAAGTCAACACGTGCAAGTTTAGAGGAGCTTTTTGAGAAGTGATGAATTCCATAAACCCACAGCACAATTGGTTGAAATTAATTATACAATTAGACCTCTCAAACTTGCTAGCAAAAAGTCATTCAGACAGGGAAACATTTGGGTTCCTTGATCCCATGATAAGCATATTACAAGTTGTAAAAGTCTTGAGTTAGTGAAGAGACAACTATTGGTCCCTTGTCTTGGTGATAAATGATGTCTTGACTACTGCCAAGTCAACTCATGGGAACCTGTCATTTTCTGTGCAAGGGAAGGTAACTCAGGAGCAGTTGACTTCCATATTTCCCTTAAGAGCTAATCTTAGAAAAAAGGATCCTGAATAGTTCATTAGCTAAATATGGTTCATGCTACCTGTAGGAATAAATGGGCTCGAAGAATTTTTTCAAGGAACTGTTCCAAAGGCTGTATCCTATTCCATACCATTTTCACATTCATTATGACTGGCACCAGGGAAAGACTGGCACTTGTGCTCAGTCTAATGTAGTAAAAAGCATTATTGCCTTTTGGAAAACAGTACTTGTAAAAAATTTGAACCTTCATAACTCCATATGTACCACATTTTTCTAATTAGGTGTTAACATTCTGAGATATTAATGTGCCTGCACTTGTGCAAAAGATTTTGATTATGTTGGTATGAACAGATAGTATACTACCTGCCACATGAACTTGGCAGTCTTAGCTGATAAGAGTTGATAGCAATAGTAGTACTCATCCAAATTCCTGCTTTTAAAAAAATAGAGAAAAGTTAAAATGCTTTCATTCTACCTATCCCACTGTCTGCCAAATAACAGGCTAAAGTTTTGAATAAAACATGATCTCATTAATGTAGCCCTGCCTTGCTTTCTTATGAAAATAATGACCCTTTTCCAGATGCAGAAAAAAACATGTATAAACTTAAGAGGTCATAGCATTACAACACAGGTTTTGAGGAAAGAGGCCATCACTGTTGCTTGTCAAAAGCAAGGAAAACTCTTTTGACAGTTCCTACTTTACAATTCCATAAAGAGTGCAGGCTAATCAGATTTGGAGGAAATATTTTTGTTAGTGTTACTTGTAGGAAACAAAAGCGAATGCATTTTTTTCAGCTTGGTCTCCCAATTCAACGATCCAGAAAAAAACAACATATTAGTCACTATTTTCCTCCACTACTTTTTTTTATTGTTAATTTGTTTGATAGAGTATGTAACTCAGGAAAGAACACAGTCCTTACTAGTTTTGTGTCATGTGCACCCAATATATAAAGTTCACCTTGTAATGAAACTACATGACAGCAATCAATCACTTTGGAAAGCAAAGTTGAAGTTTTCCAACAGTCTATATAAAACTTTATTGTGTAGGGCCTCCCCGGTGGCGCAGCAGTTGAGCACTGGGCTGCAAAGCTGCCTGCAGCCTCTGCAGCACCGGTTGGATCCCAGGCCACCAGGGGAGGGTCCCAGGGGAGGGCAGACTTCTGCTGCCCGCTGCTCCCCTCA